ATCTAAATCTGTGCCCCAGGATGTCATATACATTGTATATGTGCTGTCTATTAATGAAATTGGCTTTTTTCAGTTTCCTTTATAAGTTTGAACTAACCTGATTTGGAATCTGCTGATTTTAATTAAACTATAACTAATGCTAGGTTCACACTGTCATGCGATGTGTTACGATAGGATTGTCCTATTGAGTCCACGGTCTGGTACGTGTAGATACATTCGGATAGGTTTTGATTCGATCAACACGATTGCTACAACTGACCACAATATGTGATAAGACCTAATAGGATCACCACGGTTACTCCACGATTTCAATCGCAGCACAAATCGTGGTAGTGGGAACGTAGCACAAGGTGTGATTGGTCATAAATTTGCATTGACTCCCTATTAGAGAAGTTAACCATTGATCCTCCAAGTGTCGGTAGTAGTTCGACTGAGTGATATTATAGATCATAGCAATGCATAGTATTAATACAATCTGGCCACTTGGTGGATCATTTACAAATAAAACATATGATATTCAATCTGCTTCTAAACTTGATACACAAATTTTAATCTGAACGTTCGATCCTTGTATTTTCCGAGATAGTTAAACATCCAGGGGAGCCATGGTGGCTAAGTGTGTAAGCCACTTTGTCTCTAGCCTGAATGTCGTGTGTTCGATCCTTGCATTGGCCAAGAAAGTTCTTCAGGATTTTCCGACGTGGTTCCCCTTGTCAGTGGTGCAGGACGGAGAGCCTGACAAGGACAGCTGTCTAGTCGTTCGGTTGGGATGAAAAAACGAGGTCCCGTGTATACATTGATATGTACCCAAAAGATCCCTTGGCAATTGGAATTGGATATAAAAGTAGGCCATAGTGCCGCTGCCCAGGCAAAATTTGCCTCATTGCACACTGTATGGCGTATGCCCGTCTTCATTAGCCCAGTCGGAGCAGAACAGTAGGATGTTAAACCCCATTTAACATGACCCTAATTGTCTGTACTCTTTTTACTTGGCAGTGATCCCCCTCATATTGACCCAACTTAAGTGAATGTAAAAAAATCAATACCATACAATGAAAACAATCTTTCATTCATTCAGATCATTACTATTGACATTCATTTAGTGATTGTAAAAAACCAATGCAGGACTCTATGGTGCATTAGTTCTACTGTAGTTTACGATGTATTGGCTGAATAAGTTGTAAAAGAGATATAATACAATAAGGTTATATATTCAACTAGGCCTATTGATTTATAGTCCTATAATAGACTATTTATATACTTATGTATGCATTTGTTATCGATGCATCTTGTTATTACGTAACATTTCCATTGATCTCCAGCATAAGTAACAGAATGAGCTGTAATAAAGTTTTCCACTCCTTACTGGCTTGGTTTCGATTCCCCGCTTGTATGTGACAAGGTGTAGGGTCGCCTGTCCAACCTCGTGGGTTTTCACCGAGTCCTCTGGTTTCCTCCCACTGCTAAAGACCCCCACACGCAAGCGAATTATTGAAATAAAATTGAACCATATGTTACCTTAAACCCCATCTCTCTCTCTCTCTCTCTCTCTTTAATGGAAATCGCTACCCCCCTATGAATACTTTCGTGGGAATGCATCCTTAATTAAAAGCATTAAATACAGGTAATATTTATGAGAATCATAGCAAATAGGATTTAAGTTAATTTTTCAAGTTGAATTACCTATTTATCTTACATGCAATATTTCAAAATGATTCAAATAAGGTTTATTGTAAAGGGTGGCTTATGTCGACCTTGCAACTAAAAGCAACTGGCGTTTCGGCAACTGGGAGCAACTGAATGCAACTGAAAAAGGTTGACCTGAGCACCTCTTACGCCTCAAAGCAACTAGTTGTAGTCAGTTGCAGTTAGTTGCCCATGTTTAACTTTCTGCAACTCGTGGCAACTAGTTCCAGTCTACATGACAGGTCTTAAAACTGATGTCAACTCATTTCCATGGCAATAACATCACGTGATAAGAGACGTGTGTCATGTGACTTGATAAATAAGCAAAATGGAAGCAAACGAAGACACCCACTTTTTGAATGTTGATGATGTCGACAATGATATATTGATAGAATTGTGACAAGACCGACCATGCCTTTCGGGTGCTTCCTCTAAGGTATTCACCATTTTTTTTGCTCACGTGATGAATAAATTAACAGTCACGTTGTATGTATAATTGCTATCAGTTCTGAGTCGACATGAGCGATCTAAATTCAGTTGCTCTCAGTTGCTGATACGATTGATATAAGCACACTTGGAACTGACTGCAACTAGTATCAATGAGTTACAAAGTCGACATAAGCCATCCTTTAAGCCGCAGTGGTTCTCAACCTTTATTTGCCAACGGCACACCTTGGAACATATGAAAAAATAGTGGCACACCTGGCTAAATATATATGGAAAATATTTGAATTTTACAAAATAAAAACATGACAAGTCATAGACGGCAAACAACCGTAGACATGGAATAGTCATGGACACATAGAGTGACTCAAACTAAATGTGAAGTTACCAGTGGACACCAGTGAATACTCAATTGAGATCACGCGGTTTTTAGTGTACCATTCAAAATTTCGCGGCACACTTAGCAAGATCTCGCGGCACACCTGAGTGCCCCGGCACACTGGTTGAGAATCACTGCTTTAAGATATAAGTAACAACATGGAGATAAAATGAATCTTTATACTCAATTACCTGGTTCATGTTTATTTTAATATACCTTTGTTATGTATACTTCATACAAGCACATATATACATATATATGCAAGCCTTGAATAACTGCTCAGGTTCAGTCTGACATGTTTTTAATCTTTATTATATTATGGTACAAGTTGATACTTATTTCCTCGGAAGTCGGCCCTTCGTCTTTTTGAAAGTCTCTCTAGCAGTGTTTTATAAAAACAAAAGAAAAATAAAAAATAATAGAACACGATTTTCTGCTGTTATAAATTAGATATCATATGAAATCTGAGAACCTTACACAAATGACAACGATTTATTCATTGTGTAAAATAGGAAATTCATATAGATGTTTGAGGAGCCACGGTGGCTTAGTGGGTAATATGCTAGCTCACTGGTTTGCAGGACATAGTCGTTGGATGGGATGGAAAACTGAGCTCCCTTGTATAAATTGGCATGCACGTAAAAGATCCCTTGGCGGTTGCAATTCGATATAACAGTAGGCCATAGTGCCACTGCCCGGGCAAAATTTCCCTCATGGCACACTGTATGGCATATGCCCGTCTTCATTAGCCCGGACAGGTTGATTTCATTATTAAGATTATTTACATATGAAGGAGGCATAAAAAGGGTAAAAACATAAAAAGAGGTCATGTATATAAAAATCTCACTTGTTACTACAAGGACATATTTTTATTGTCCCCAGCCTTTCGAAGAAAGCCGGGGACTATTAAAATGGGTTCGTCTGTCTGTCTGTCTGTCCGTCTGTCTGTCCGTCACACTTTTTGGGACACAATAACTCTCTTCCTAATTGAGCTAGAATGTTCAAACTTGGTGTATGTGTTTATTAGGTCAATGCCTTGATGGAGTTCGAAGATGAGCATTTTCCGCTTAGGGTAAGCAGAGATAAGCAATTTGATTGGTTGATGCTTTGGGACACGATAACTCTCTTCCTAATTGGGCTAGAATGTTCAAACTTGGTGTATGTGTTGATTAGGTCAATGCCTTGATGGAGTTCGAAGATGAGCATTTTCCGCTTAGGGTAAGCAGAGATAAGCAATTTGATTGGTTGATGCTTTGGGACACGATAACTTTTAATTGAGCTAGAATGTTCAAACTTGGTGTATGTGTTGATTAGGTCAATGCCTTGATGGAGTTCGAAGATGAGCTTAGGGTAAGCAGAGATAAGCAATTTGATTGGTTGATGCTTTGGGACACGATAACTTTAGTTCTAATTAAGTGAGATTGATGAAACTTGGTGTATAGTTTCATTACAGTAATACCTTGACTAAGTTTGATAATGAGCATTTTCTGCTCAGGGTAAGCAGAGCGATACGCAATTTGATTGGTCGAGACTTTGGAAAACAATAACTCTCCTACTTTGATTGTCCCCCGCCTTTCGAAGAAAGCAGGGAACTATTAAAATGGGTTCGTCCGTCTGTCTGTTTGTCTGTCTGTCCGTTCCGCTTATGGTAAGCAGAGATAAACAATTTGATTGGTTGATCTTCGAATTGAGTAAATGTTCATGCTTATTGTCCCCCGCCTTTCGAAGAAAGCAGGGAACTATTAAAATGGGTTCGTCCGTCTGTCTGTTTGTCTGTCCGTTCCGCTTAGGGTAAGCAGAGATAAACAATTTGATTGGAAGCTCGTTTATATAGTTTATGCTTTAGTTCTTGAAGAAGCTTTCCAATGTATTACCCCTGTAATTCCTCCTCTTTTATCTGTACAATATTTTCGAAAAAAATGAAACGAAATTCACTTATGCCACATTACATGTCATAATATTATAACCAGGTATTGATAAAAGCATCAATTGAGCAATTCCAATACAATCCAATACAATGAATATAGGCAAGGTAAATAAACAAATAAATGGAAAAAACAAATTGAAAAAGAAACTATTATAAATTAATTAAATATGTAGTATGCAATAATGAATTGACATTTAATGACAGAAAGAAAACAGTGAACTTTGCACAACTTGCAGCAAGATGGAAAATAGACCCGTTGATATAACCAAACTCTAGATCTGTAGGCATAGAGCATGTTTTCCCCTTAATATGCTATAATTATTCCATCAAAAACATTGTATGCTTAGACTATAAGTAAAGATATACTGTTTGATTGTTCAATACTTTGTAAAAGATAATTTGTGATAAATTTATATGTGTCCTCTAATTATTTTCCTATTTCGGCGGGGGACATCAGCCTCACTGTTGGCTTGTTAATATATCCCTGGTTAAAGCTAGAATTATAAGTGAAATATTTTTTATCACATTTAGTGCTTAATATTCATGACTGACTGGGGGGGTTGGATTGCCGAATGGTTAGCATTTGCGCGTTGTATCATAAGGTCTGTCATTAAGTCAGCTGGCTTGGTTTCGATTCCCTGTTTGTACGTGACAAGGAGTAGGGTCGTCTGTCCAACCTCGTGTGTTTTTTCTGGGTCCTCCGGTTAGCGAATTATTGAAATAAAATTGAACCATATGTAAGTCCTGAAATGACCAGGTTTGTGTCGAGTGGACGTTAAACCTCTCTCTCTCTCTCTCTCTCTCTCTCTCTCATGACTGACTATTAGTAGTAGAATATTGACCAGTGAGAATACAGCTAGGAATTTGGAATCGAGTAGAGGTGCACATTGGAAAATAGGCAAGTGCACTAAAATAACATGGCAGACACAATGAAGAGATGAGAGTAAACCACCACTACCGGATTGATTCAGGATTGTGTGTACTTCTATAGTGTATGTAAACAATTAGTGTATTTATTGAAGAGGTACATGCAGGATATGATGTGAATATTAGGCTGACCTTAAAAATATCTTTGTTTCGCCTAACGCGACCGACTAACTAAAACCACCCCCGACTTAAATTATTTTATTGCACTTTTCCACGATCTTTTTATTTTATTTTGTGTGTCAACCTGAAATATATCACGAGAGTTATTTCCCTTTACTATGGCTATGGTTTGATTCATTATTGAAACTGGTTGATCAAGACGAAAGCGTCATAGGTGTCGCTTCTCAACAAAATGGTTGCAGACGAATACACGTCCATTCCCACGAAATGATTCTGCTTCTATGTCTGTGGTGCGTAGTTTTAAACATAACGACGATATTTTCAATATCCGTTTTCGAGAAAAATGAAGGCACAACCCGCACTATCGTTAAAAACGTGTTGAAGGAGTTTCACACTTCAAGTTCGTGGCAAATCGTGTGCGAGTCGAGCATCACGAAAAATTCCCGATGTCATTGATTTTTTTGCCAATTGAATAAAGAAGACGAATGTTTCCACCCGGAAAATTATTAAGCTGTCAAATTAGCTCTTAAGTTTAATAAAAAGACTTTCAGTTCGTTACTTTTTACGTCAGACCCCAAATTCATTAAACAAAATTAATGAATCTGTAGTATACAGCTAATAAGTTTTCTGTATTTAAAAAAAAATCTGAAAAAAAAACCGACCTACCGACCCTTCTCCTCGATTGTGGGTCGGGTTTGGTGAAACAAAGATATTTTTAAGGTCAGCCTTATAATTACGTATGTATTTTACCATACATCCTGTATTTACATACAACCTGTTATATATGTCCTGTATGTCCACACCTTTGACCCTTACATGTGTCATATGGTCCTTATACTTTAGATAAATGTTTGAGACACTACAACCTTGTGTTATGCATAAAATATTTTCTTCAGATAGAATAATCATATAGGTAAAAATAACTTAGTCAGTGTAACAACAGAAAAATGAAAAAGTATTATTCCCTAACTACATTTTTTTTTTATAAACAAAATTTTATTCTCAGAAAAGAATTGAGGAACAGGCTAGGTCTATATTACCTCTCTCCTATATCAATATAATTAAATATAAATAGCCTGTGTCCTAAAATTGTTCCCCTGACTTGTTAGGGCTAGCAAATTCCAAAGTGTTTCTAGTCCCTTGGCTGGGACAATAATTGAGTAAGTTGTAGTAGTAGTAGTAGTATAGGGATCCATTGGCAGTTGCAATTCAAAGAAGATTTGATGAAAATGCTGCTGTCCAGGCAAAATTCGCTCCCCAGCATTTCATTGTACTGCCAAGAATCTGAATCTGTAAACAATAGATTTTATCACATGTCAATAGGGTTGTGTTAATATGATAAGTGGGTATAAAGTATAAGGACATTATACTGCAGGGATTAATACTACACGCATTCAAGATAACATCATTACACAGACGAAATTCCATTGCTTCTTCCTTTTATTCAGTGCTAGTTTTTAGACACATTTTCATATGGACGTATATTGTTGTCACCCCTGTCCAGACAGACATCAAGACGTCTGTTCATATTTTTATCTGGTTTTTACTAAACTTGAAATATAGGTTTATATCCCAAATATCACGGTTCCTTTCGATATTGGCATGTATGGGATCATAACTTCATGGATTATGGCCCCTGATTGTACAAAAAAATCATGTTTGTATACTCCCACATATTGTCATCGCCCCTATCCGTCCGGTTTATATCCAAAAGATCTCAGTTCTTTTCGATATTAGTGCATATCAGAGTATCAGACTGGTTTTTTTTGGATTATGGGGGGGGTGGGGTGTTGGATGGCCGAATGGTTAGGACGCGCGCTGTATCATACGGTCTGTCATTGAGTCAACTGGCGGGGTTTCGATTCCTCGGGTGTACATGACAAGGAGTAGGGTCGCCTGTCCAACCTCGTGGGTTTTCTCTGGGTCCTCTGGTTTCCTCCCACTGCTAAAGACTCCATCGCACAAGCGAATTATTGAAATAAAATTTAACCATGTGTCAGGCCCGAAATGACCTAGTTTGTGTCGAGTGGACTTTAAACCCCATGTCTCTCTCTCTCCTTTATTAGATTATGGCCCCTGATTATATAAAAAAATCACCTTTTTCTTTTTAGCTAGTTCTCCATGCATCTCTTACAAAATGTGGGCATATTTACATGGCAAACGCTTTTTTTATTAGCCTTCTGTCTTGTCCATTTAAATTGTACAACTTTTCATATTATAATTATATGGTTTAGACGAATAACAGATCGATGTATGAAACACACTTTTATTTCTATTATTTATCTTAAGGAAGTATTATACTGAAACGAATAAAAGGCATGCAGACTTGAATGGTTACGTACTTTGCTAGTAATATTTTCTTGTCCTAAATAATATTGTATTTTAACACGTACGTAGTAGTAGAGATGTTTTATTTACAGTACATTTATACAAAGTCATTATTTAGTTTTTATACACCTACGTATTCATGTGGATATAAACTCTTCAAAAAAAGTAGGGGATATTGAAATGCAAATACCTATGCAGGTTGCGATGTGATAAATAGTCATGGACACTTGACATACTTTGAGAGTATGTATTCACAGATGAAGAACTTATCGCCCCAACAGAACCACTGTGCTGCACATGTGACACACAATAGCGCCATACACGTGGGAGGGGTTCATTGTCAAATTTGACACTTCAAGGAAGAGTTGATGAAAACTGCCGCATGCTGGTTTATCTATCCATGTTTGCTTTCCTATCGTTTCTTGCATAAGATTTACTGTTTAGTGTATCTTTGCTTTGGTGTGTCCCTACTCTTATATCGAATTCCAACTACCAAGGGATGTTTTATGTGCACGCTAAGGTCACGTCGGAAATTCCCGATGAACTTTCTCGGCCAATACAGGGATCGAACATGCGATCTCCAGGCTAGGGTTGATGAAAACTACCGCTTGCTGGTTTATCCTATCCATGTTTGCTTTAGTGTGTTCCGTTTAATTTGATCGGGAGACGTGCTCGTCGACATCAACGTCAACCGACAACACTGCAAGAATTGCCCGTGGCACTGCAAGAGGAGTGGGTCAGATTGCCCCAAATCATGATTGGATGGTTGATTAGGAGCATGCCACGACGAATTGCTGAATGTCTGAGGATTGGTGGAGCAATTACTCATTATTAAGACAAAAATCAAAAACGTCCATTTTCACTTTTGACGGTGAAATGGGGCCGTCAGATAAGCTGCCAATATGAACTGTTTATGTTCTTGTGTAGGCAATTGGCCTGTTATTAACATACACTGGTTATCTCTAATAAAAACAGCAGTGCATTTCCACAGTTTTGTGTTGTTTCTGAATATTCTCCACTTTTTTTGAAGAGTATATATTTGTTTGTGGACACTCTTTAGGTCACAATTTTTATTCGATTTTGACGAAACTTGATATATAGGTTTATCTCCCAAAGATCTCGGTTCCTTTTGAAATTGGACCGAAACTTCATGGATTATGGTCTCTGATTGTACGAAAAATCATGTTTTTAGCTTGTGGACACTCAAGAAGTCACAATTTTTTTCTGATTTTGATGAAACTTGAAATGTATGTGTATATTCAAAAGATCTCAGTTCCCTTCGACATTCGTGCATATCGGATCATAATTTCATGGATTGTACAAAAAATCACATTTTGTTTAGCTCGTTCTCCTTCCATCTCTTGCAAAATTTAGGTATTTTCTTCTTTAGTGTCCTGGTTATTATGACATAATCTGGGTCGTCATATTTGATAACCTGCGTAAAACCTCTGAAAAGAGTGAGAGAGAAATGGAGTTTTAACGTCCAGTCGACACAAACTATGTCATTTAAATCAGTATGTAACAAAAGCAATGTTTTTGTTTTCTAAAATATAAATCATATTTTGTTATTATTTAAATTCACTGCCAGAATATCAGTGACAGGGACTAAGTGAAGAGGATGAAATGAAGTGTTTTGAGTCACAGGTTTCTGTTTTTGTGCCTACTTGTGTTTTTTCTCATACAGAAAAACGTGTTCGATCCCTGCAATGGCGGAGAAAGTTCATCAGGATTTTCCGGCGTGGGTTCCCCTTGTCTGGGATGCAGGACGGAGGGCCTGACAAGGACAGCCATCTAGTCGTTCGGATGGTCCTGTGTATACATTGGCATGCACCTTAAAGATCCCTTTGCAGTTGGAATTCGATTGAAGAGTGGGCCATAGTGCCGCTGCCCGTGCAAAATTTCTCTCATAGCAAACTGTATGGTGTATGTCCGACTTCATTAGCCCATTTCATTTCACACAGAAAAAATAATTTGCTTATTAATGCAATTTTCAATGTTATTGGCAGTTCTGAAACTGATTTTCAATACTTTGTAATCATTTTACTCAACCAGTGTCATGGCTCAGATGTGCTAGAAACAACTCAAGCATATGTTTAGATTATAATTCTTGTCAAATGATCTCTGTCTATATATATTAACACATGAGATGAATGATGTCACAATATCATGTGACTGATCACATGATAATGTGATTAATTCATCCATGTGACACCTGGAGATATCTGAAATGACTTGGTTTTATAAACTTGACTATAAAAATATCCTAGTCAATATCCTATCTTTATGGTAGATTTTTATTAAAGAGTATGTTAGATGTCATACTATTTAAAGGAGCTGAATCGCTAATATTTGGGACCTACAAGTTGACTCAAATGGGTCACAACGCATATAATAATGTATTATTTCTGTTTTTATTCTACTTCCAAATCAGTTATGTCGGCGAAATAGGCCGGAAGTCTCAATCGAATGGCAATCTCTAGCATCTGGTTATTCCAGCCTACACCGATAGTATTTATTGCGCATGCTCTCCAGATAGCAATATGGCATCACCGTTTGACATGACTTGTGGAATATGTGTACCAATGGTAAAATGTCTGAAATATTGGATATCAGAAGC